GTTTCGCACATGGTGAAAATCAATTATATTCACGAAGTACTTTTAAGTGAATGAAATACATATCTTCGAAATTTAATTATTTTGCACCCAAAAAGATAACGCAACATTCCCTAAAAACCAACCCAGTACACATTTAAACATTGTACAAAAATATTTGAGTGCTATAAAGACGGAAGAATGACGTGGTTTTGCATGCGAGGCTCTCAAACTTGCTTAATAGAATGGTGCGTTAAATGACGATTTTAACCGAAGTTGGTAATTTGCATATTTCTTTGAAATAAAAGGATATTTCGCCAAAAAATCTATCCAATAGTTTTTGTCATGTCCTAGCCTATCTACCATAAGAATATGAGCGAGATCGAATTTTCGACCCTTGCCGCGAAATTAAGAATTTGTCTGATTTTTACAGGCAGGCACTCTTAATCGCTCTTACAGCTACGAGACATCAGTCCAGTACGTCACACGTTATCAGTGCCGTGGAATACAGCGCACGAGCGTACTAAACGCAGATACCGACGGAAAGCTCAACAATGTATATCTGCAATGCTTGATGTCCTGGCACCTGAAAATTCGCAACAACTGTGGACAGAGCTTTTTAGTGCATTTGTTGAGAGCTACTTGAACGCGCAACATTGGAGCACCAGACGACAAATACTCTCTTTGATGGCAGATAAGTTATTCCTTAAGGAGATGAGAGAGTTGATTCCAACCGTTACTAGCTATCGCTACAACATTGCCCGACGCCACCAGCTGTTACATGGAAGAGCTGCTCCTCTTCCAAACCAGGAGAAAAAGAGAATGAGGATTGAACCTGTAAAANTAGTTTTTGTCATGCCCTAGCCTATCTACCATAAGAATATGAGCGAGATCGAATTTTCGACCCTTGCCGCGAAATTAAGAATTTGTCTGATTTTTACAGGCAGGCACTCTTAAGCTTTAATGATAATATCCATAATAGTATAAGACTCGGTCACCAAAGCCGAAAAATACTGAACTGGAATTTATACTAGAGTCAAATTTGGAGAATTTAATTTCGGAGACTCAGTTTAAGGGCCATTGTCACGATAAAGCGCATGTGCGGTCTCGATTGACACCAACTCTTTTTAACCAATAGAAATCGTAATACTATCACGCGCGGCACATAGTATGCCTTTTAAATCTTTCATAGATGACCAAACAGTTCTTCAATGTCAGCATCATTACTATTTTCACACGCCTCACAAGGTCGCTGGAGAAGGATTTTTCTCACAAATATCAACTATGAAAACTGTTCGGTCGGATCAGAAATCAAACTGCCGCACATGAGCAGAAGGGTGTCAAATGCCCTTTGAAGGTTCTCTCTAGAAATGTCTAGTCTTCTGTTTCTCAAGTAACGAGTAATGAAGCTTTCCAAATAAGCCAGTTGGGCTGATAAGTGGGAACACTATTTAACTTTGATGCTATTGCGAAAAACTTGACTTCTGGATTACTCCACATAGTCATACATAAAATGCATTGTTCAGCCTTAAATAGACCAGAAGACTTGAAATAGGTTTGTAAATGCATTTAACCCACCGATAAAATAACACAACCTAAACATAAATTGTGTAAATTTTGAAAACCTGTTCAACAAGCTTTCAAGCTCTGGAATAAAAGTGAACACGCGTTATTTGAATTTGTTACGTTGCGAATTATCTTATTGTTCATGCCTGTCAAACGTACTTGTTTTGAACGTGTCTTTAAGGAAACGCGTGTGGTTTACACGCGGCAGCCGGTAAAGGCATCGCATGGTCTTTGTATCAATATTGGGAGAGTTTCAGAAATATTGTTGAAATTCCGATTGCGTTCGAAAATCTTTGAGAATCTTCGGATGATGCATGTTCGGATTATCTGTAGCAATCTTCGGGAAGCTCTGGGTCAACTTCGGAAGTTTGCGGGTGGTCTACTCTTGAATCTTCGAGGCCTTTGGCAGATCAGCTGAGTCTTTGAGAACATTTGGAGAAGTTCGACGAGAAAAAATTAACGGAAAATTACCTCCGTCTAAAAGCTTCTAAACCAATGATAATCCAGTTTTACGATGCAAAATCAAACAGCTAAATGACCAGGCAGGAGAACAGAACTTTGATTTGGTTAAGTAGACTGCGGTTATAACAAAAACAAAAACAAAAGCAACAACAACAACAACAACAGTATCCCGACTGATGCCATCTTATTTATTATTCCAACACTGATACATTTGACCGAAAAGAGTCGGTTTGAGAGAGCCCTAGAATCTTCCTGCACTTTACCACCGTACAGCCGAACATCTCTCACTGCAGTTATTACTGCTTATTTAAGTTTACTTTTAAAAATAGCTGTGCCCCAATTTGAATATTCCCGCTACAATTTTAGAAGGAGATGTTTTCTTTACCCAAAAGTCCTACGTACAATGTATAGTGTAGAAGCTTCTTGAGTGATAGATTATTCTAATGCGACTTTCAGCGCAAATGTGTATATACGCATGTGGGAATGTAGTCCTGAAACGTTCAGAAGAAATAACTGGGTATTTTTTTTCTGCTTTTACGAATTAAATATCTAAGATAGACAATTAAGCAAAGGAAAACAAACTAACTAAAAACGTTATTTTGTAAAGCGCTTCTGGGTTCTTTCGTAGTTATTCTCGCATTTCTTCTGGACAGTCAGGTTGTTTGAAAGGGTGCGCAGCTTTGAACGCCTCTAACTTTGTCAAATCCTCGTGTATTCTTGAAATGGTTGGAAACTGGGACATATCGACTTTAAACCTATCGCGGGAAAGACAAATTCAGCAGTGTTTCAAAATCTGATATGAGGCACCAAGCGAAGAGTCTATGAAACTGAAATACATCTCACTGAAAACAATTTAAATGCTTCCACATTTGCTGGAGAATAGTTTTCATTCGATCGTTACAACTGATCAATATTGTTAAAATCAGAGGCAACAAGAAAAGAACGGAAGAGATATGAAAAAGAATATCTAACCCAGCCAAAAAGGCATCAAATGCATTCATTTCTTCAGTCATGTATATGGTCGTTACGAGCAATGCTCAATTAAAGCATTTGCAGTAATTTAAGCAGTTGCAGTGTTCATAAGGACAGGACTACACCAATAAGCCGGCGCTTTACCTAAGTCACATTCAGGACCTCATGCACCACCCAAAATAAATGGTAACAATTGATGCATCTTGCAATATCTATCCCAGATATCTAGAGTTCAAGACCTACACCCAAGTTAATAAGCAGTTGAAATAAGTGAGACAGTACAAATCTACTGGTACTATAGTTTACTGACCTGTTTGCATTGAAGACCTGGGGTACCAGACACAAATCAGCCATAGATATCTGCCAACACAAAGAAACAAAGTTATACAGGCACTGTCGCTAAGATGGGATATAGACATTATTACCGCTGCTATCTTGTCGTTCAGAAGATGGGGTGGGGGGCGGGGGATAACAAACGAGTACGCTGCAACAGTCAACACTTGCATGTTTTCTGCCAATGTTGGACTGATAAGAGTCATAAAAAGTTTAGATTACAGACTAAAAAGTGTGTCCCAAATTGTTAACGAAAGTGGAGGCTTCGGCTTACAATACAGTGGAGCTTAACCTGTCTAAAATGGCTTGGATTCTCTTGTCCTGACTGAGTGTGCACCGATCAATACACTTGCTGTTATAGTAGGGTTCAATAGCTCATTTCCGAGTTGCCTTAGGCCTCTCTATCAAAGTGAGGCCTGGTGCACAACCATTCATATGTAATGACTTCAATTTGTATGTAAATAAAA